TTCCTCTTCATGCTTCTCGTATAGTAGGGATGTCCATGCATGCGCCATGCCCAGCTACTGGTTGACTTGGTGTCTTACAAACTTCAGAAACTTTGTCCACTCAAACTGCTGCCCTGGTATCAGCCTCCTCTAGCTACAGTGTTTCTCTCTTTTTTTTTTTTTTTTTGGGTCCGGTCATGGGGCCTGAACTCTGGGCCTGGGCGCTGTCCCTCAGCTCTTCAGCTCAAGGCTAGCACTCTACCACTTGAGCCACAGAGCCACTTCCGGCTTTTTTCTTTTTGCTTCTGTGGTGCTGAGGAATCGAACCCAGGGCCTCAGGCTTGCAAGGCAAGCGCTCTACCACTGAGCTACCTTCCCAGCCCAGTGTTTCTCTTTCTTAACAAGTAAAACATGCAAGGCAAAAGATAACTTCATCTCCTTTTCCTCCATTGCTTGATTTCTGAAGGCCACTACTATGAAGGTTGTCAGGAATCCTTCCAGTCCAGGGATATGTTATTGGTTATTGGGTATATTATAGGGATATTATAATATGCATATCACAATATGCACTGCTGTGAAACATAATACAAGAGAATTATTTTCAGTATTTTACCAGTGATCAATGATTGTTTGCAACTGTTTTCTCTATCAATTTATGTTTTGAATATTTATAACAACTAGATCTTAAACAGATCTAGTTTGTTAATTTCAGGGAAGTTATATAAATGGTTTTGAATGAATAAAATGAATTATTTATTCCTTCAGTGATGAATATTCCCATTATTTCTCACTGCTGCTACAAACAGTGTTACAGAATGCTCTTGAACTTGTCTCCTGGTTTACAGGAGTAATTTCCTAGAGGTGAAATTGCTGATTCAAAGCATACATTCATCCCAGATTGTCAGTGTCTCTCTGTGTGGTCATTATACTTCTTTTTGGTAATGCAGCAACTAGTTTTCTAAGACAAAGGTACTAAGTATACTTTCTACTACAGATTTGCTATTACAGAATTTACACACACACACACCAAATTTCCTATGTTTTTTTCTCATGCCTTTAAGAGTTCTTTTGTTGGGCTGGGAAGGTGGCTCAGGGGTAGAGCGCTTGCCTCCCATGCATGAGGCCCGGGGTTCTATTCCTCAGCACCATATAAACAGAAAAAGCCACAAGTGGCTCTGTGGCCCAAGTAGTAGAGCACTAACCTTGAGCTGAAGAGCTGAGGGACAGCACACAGGCCCAGAGATCAGGCCCCATGACCGACCAAAAAAAAAAAGTTTCTTTGTCTGACTTTCTTAGGAAGAAAAAATACAGAAAATATCAAAACTTTATTGTTTGTATTTATTCAGAATACAGAACATTTTTAAGCAAAGCCTTGTTATATAGCCAACTGCTGTTTCAGGCTCAATCTTTTCCTTAATCCATATGTGACACTTGCCTTCATTCTCACCACTGAATGAATGACATTTCTGACTTTTTCCCAGAATTTTCATAGGCCCTAGGAGGTTGTTTGAACAATTTTTGCCTATTTATAAAAAAAAAATTCCTATTTATTTTAACTCTTCTGAAAGTTAATAAAAATAATTCTTAGGCTTGGCACACCTATGTATATTCCTTAAGAATTTTGGACCTACCTGGTGTCCAACTTAAAGTTTCGTTTTAGCATCCAGCAAATGGGAATGTTAATTCAGTCTCCAAGAACAATTTCCTGAACTCAGTTACTGTCAGCTGTTGTCACCTGGTGAATCGTCCCTCCTCCAAGTGGTCCTTTCTTACCTTCTTGGGAAAGCACTAGCTTGTCTCTGAGATCAACTGCATACAGGCAGGTGTTTTGGAATATTTTTTTAATTGAGCTCTTAAATGGTAACAAAGCTGAGCTCATGACAGAGAACACCAGGAAGACTCTTAGTACCTCGAGCTTTTTAGAGATGTGTTTAGCTCCTTTGTAGCCCTCACATTTTGGTACCCCGACTCCACTTTTTCTGAACAGATAGACGATGCATTAAAATTGTCCCATTTTTGGGGTCTTATAAGAAACAATGGTTGGGTATCTGTGGCTCAGGTTTGTAATCCTGGCTAGTCAGGAGGCTGAGATCTGAGGAGTGTGGTTCAAAGCCAGCCCAGGAAGGAAAGTCCATGAGACCCGTATCTCCAATGAACCACCAGGAAACTGGAAGTGGAACTGTGGCTCAAGTGGTAAAGTGCTCAACTTGAGCAAAAGAGTTCAGGGGTAGTGCCCAGACCGTGAGTTCAAGCCCCACGACTGACAAAAACAAAAACCAAAAAAACGATTATGATGTATTTCGGGGAAGCCAGCATCGCGGCATGTACTTTCAGTGCGTGATGTTTAATGGTAAATAACCACTACTTTTTCTTCAAGGTGAGTGGCTTTACCTCAGGGAGCAACACTAGGGGTTTCCTGGTTATCAAAATATATTTAATTAAGGAGGTTATTGCTGGAAGGAGAGTTCTCATTTTTGAGGTGGACTGGCTAGTGGGTGTTGTTCAGGTGAGCAGACATTCCTACCAGGCCATTCCCTCTAACTGTTAGCTCCAGAGGTTGGCTAGCAATGATGCAGAGCTTAGCTGTGAGCCCTTGCTTCACTGTAATTTTCACCAGCAGCCCCTGTGGAAGATTTGTGGGGGGAGGGTGTGGGAGGGGGCTGGGCCATTCATTGTGTGTGTGTGTGTGTGTGTGTGTATGGGCACGCGCATGCATGCCAGACCCTAGGGCTTAAACTTGGGGCCTGGGTGCTTTTCTTCAGCTTTTTTAGCTCAAGGTTGGCACTCTACAACTTGAGCCACAGCTCTACTTCCAGCTTTTTGCTCACAGACTTTTCTGCTCCGTCTGGCTTCAAATCATGATCCCCAGATCTCAGCCTCCTGAGTAGCTAGGATGACAGGTGTGAGCCACCAGCAACTAACTCTCCAGATATTTTTAAATTCTATTAATGGTCAATAGGGTTGTTTAGAGACCCAGAGGGCTTTGTTCAATGTTGCTTAGAGTTGCAATGCTGAATCTTAACTGAAATTCTAGAAACAACCCCCCCCCCTTTAACAAAAACAACTAGTATAATCTAATTTAAATGTGGTGTCTGTCTTTGGCTTGTTCCTGCAGCTGATTTATTCACCGCATAAAATATTCCACTTCTGTACCCTGACCCGAAAAGCTAAGAACTGAAAGACATCATTAGCCTTAAATGGAACATTAAGCTGCTCTTCTTGGATGGAATGGATTATCAGCAGCGATCATCACCTTGATGTGTTTACAAAGCCGTAACTTCTCAAACGATTGCCCTTATGAGATGAATGTTTCTCTTTTTAATTTGTAGGGGTTAGTGGAAAGGTTGGAGGTGAAGAGGAATGAATTTGAGAGCACCAAGAAATAAAATTCACTCAAAAACAAAAAAGTAACTGTTGATAGTTAAAAGCAACTGTCATCGCCAATCCCCGTGGTTCTCAGAATAGAAGTGCTGCACTCAATTAATATGAATGACCATGCTAATTTTAGGACCTCAGTGTAACCAGCGAGGATCTCCGTAAGATTTATTCTCCGAGTTTATTTGGAGAAGAAAAGTGGGAGGGCTTAATAGAGAGAATAAGAGTCAGAATTTCTCAGGATGCTGAGACTCTCCAGTGCAGGCCGCGCTGGCTCTGTTACTGCCGCAGCTACTCAGTTAGTTGTATCATGGTTCTTTGGAGAACTGTACCCCTAAGAAACCTTTTTATTGTGGTACTAGGGGTTGAACCCAGGCCTCCGTCCCCCATACTGAACAAGCACTCTGCTCACTTGAGCCATGACCTTAGTCCTTTCTCTCACTTTTTCCTTTTGAGGCAGGGCCTCACTAATTTTTGTCCTACCTAACCTCAAACCAGTGATCCTCTCGCCTCTGTCTCCCACGAGCTGGAATGACAGGCATCCACCACCATGCCCATCCCCAAAACTCTTTTCTCTGTGCTAACCAGATGCCCCTAAATGTGGGGTAGCATTCTAGAATAGCTGTAGATAGGTAACTGTCCTTTTGTACCTCTAGGTACCTAGTTCTCCCCCCTTTCCCCCCCCCCCAGTCCCCGAACACTCTAGATCTGAAGTGGTCTCTGGAAGAGGAACTGCGGTTTGTGCCACAAGCAATCACTCAGCGTGGGAGTGGGTAGCGAGGTCTTTCACCTGCTGCCTTGGCTTGAGGAAGATTCTTCTTGATCCTTGGGGAACATTAGCTTGGGCTGGCCTGTAGCAGCAGTGTAACAGCAGCCTCAGGAAAGAAATGGAGCGTTCATAGAAAACGGCCATGTTCTTCTTTCCCTTTTTGAACTTCTCTCATATTAATGATTTTTCTCCTCATAGTTTCGCTGGAAATGGGGAGTCCATTTACCTTATCCCACACAGAGTCTATGTAAACTAGGGATTTTTTTTTTTAAGTTCAAGAAAAGGTCCCTCTTGCTGTGCGTCTGAGGTTATCCTTGAACTCAAATCCCCGGCCTCAGCCTTTGGCATTCTGGGATTAGAGGGTTGTGCCCCTGGGTCTGACTTTTCCAGTTCTGTACAGCTTCACCGCTCCCTGGCCACTGCCCTGCAGGTGCCACGGCTTGCTGGCAGCCGATGCGTGCTTGCAAAGCCCAGCCTTTGAGCAGTGGTGGAGCGGCGGGTGCATTTCGTGTGGAGCTCCAGCTCCGTCGGCGCGGTCTTCTCCTTTCAGCTTGCTTTGTGTACCCAGCAGCTCATTACTTAAAACTAGCCCGTCAAAATAGCTCAACTAGGCCTTGGGAAATACGCTCACATCCTTGGGAGACCACAACTATGTTTAATAACAGGGCAGATTGGCTTGATAAGGGGGGGAAAAAACCGGGCTCAACTTGCATCGCCCCGAACTATTTTGCTGTAGCTTGCACCCGCATCAATAAGCCGGAGCAAGCCTGAGGGCCATAAATCGCTGTAGCTGACAAGAAGACCACGCTAGGGGAAGCCGGGAAAATGATTGCTGATGATTCGTTCTAACTACTTGACCTTCTGACCTCTTCTCTAGATATATGACCAAGATGGGACACTACAGCACTTTATTGATGGTGGGGAACCTAGTAAGTCGAGCTGGATGAGGTATATCCGATGTGCAAGGCACTGTGGAGAGCAGAATCTAACAGTAGTTCAGTACAGGTAAAGTATGCCTTGATTTACCACTTACACAGCTGAAGCCCCTTTGGCTTGCGTATGCAAATTCAGGCTGGCTGCCGGTGGGGCTGCAAATGCATTGTGCAGAACTCTGCATAGCTGGGCAAGGAGGTTTGGGGGGGGGGTGCAGCAGGGAGGGTTGTGGGGGAAAGGCTAGGTTTTGTGAGTTTTCAGAAACAAAGGTGCTAGTAGATGGCCTCTTGTGGTCCGTGCACAAGGGATTCTCCATCCTCAGCTCCTCTCCTTCACAGACGGGACAGTGCAGAGGCTTGGGCCCACTCCTGCTGCAGAGCAGTAGTAGGAGTTCAGAGCATTGGCCCTTCCTTCCAGTCTCCTTTGGGCTCTGTTCCTGGGAGAGCAGGTTCCTCTGGACAAAAATCCTGGGACTCTAGGGAGTCTCCACCTTCCTGAGATTCCCTTTCCAACCCCGCCATGCTCAGCCAGAGGGCGGAGAAAGGGGGCTCGCCCCGCCCCGAGGTACCAGAGCTTTGGGATGTGGCTGGGGAGTCTTCCAGCTATTTTTCAGGTGATAAAATCATTTCCCAAGCCCAAAGCAGACAAAGGCAAGGTGGGGGGTCACCCCATCTCTCAGGTGGCGGCTTGGGAGGCCTGTGGAGAACTGAGAAGTAAGTAAGATGAGCTTTAGGCTGCTCAGCCCGGCCCGGCTGGGTGCACCTGCCAGCCAGGTGATGCCACCGAGTGACCAAGAAGGTGGGCGTGGAGACCTGGAGGCCCAAACAGATGACACGGGGAAAGAAGCCCCCCACGCCTCCTTGCCCCAGAAGGCCTCAAAAAACACGGGCCGTATAAATCTATGAGCTCAGTTATAAACAGCTCTGTTCCCTTTAGAATCAGAAGCAACTGTTTAGCTTTATTAGGCACCACAGACACATCAAAGCCCAGGGCCGGGGCTCAGGCCCTTGGAGCTCTGCCTGAGGACATTTATTTTCCTTTCTTAAAAAAAAAATTTTTTTTTAAAAAAAGCATTTTCCCCCTTTGTAGTTAAGGGTGCACAAATTTGGTTTGCTCTCTGAAAACCTCCAATTAGAAAAAAAAAAAAAAGACAGGGGGCGGGGGAAACAGCACTGGATTTCTTACTGTGATTTCCTATGCGATGTTATTTTATTAACTAAGAATAGAATAGGACAGGACAGTAATTAGTTCAACTAGTGTCTATGGGCTTTGGTCACCTTCCCTGCCAAGATGTTTTGTGGGGTGTTTTTGTTGTTGTTGTTGCTGTTGTTACTATTTTGTTGTTGCCTTAAAAAAACAAACCCACCAAAATTCTGAAGTAGAAAAGTCAGAAAGACGGTGCTTGGCAGTCAGCAAGAGATAGCTTGGCTGTTTCTCTAATGAGTACCCAGGGAGCTCTTAAGGCAAATTCTGAGTTTGGGGAAAGAAACCCCTAAGAGGGGGTTCAAATGAGTCATTAGCTATCTGTGGATGGCAAGCGGGTTTTACAGCTGCCCGTTCCTGATGGCGGTGAGGCCAGGCGCCCCCCTCTGCCGATCTGTTTTCGATTACTTCAGGTCCTTATAAAATGAACTACAAAAACACAATTTTAAAAACTGGCATCTATCCCTGGTGAGCACGTCCAAAAGTAAGAAAATAGAAAAGTTGGGCCCCGAAGAGCCAGCCTAATTTTTATTATACATGAATGTCCTCTTCACAAAAAGTCAGCTGGTTTAAATTCATTCTGTTATGATTTGTAATATCTAAATGGAATTTTCTTCAAAGCGCTCTTGATTGATTGACCCTTAGCTGAACGTTTTGTTTTTATTTTGAGGCTGACAGTAATGTTTGTTGGCATGCATTCTGCTCAGCTGCATTGGACGCCATGAAGCTATCTTTATGAGTCATCCAACCACAATACTAAATACATGTCAGCAAAGGAAATATTATCTGAAAAGGGAAAAATCTCTTTGATGTGCTTCAACATGCAGAGATTTCTGCGAGTTTTGGAAGCTCAGCCCGTTTGTAAGGAATGGTGTATGCTTACACATTTCTCCCCCCTTCGGCCGACTCAGAAGACCACCCATTGCTTGAAAACAGTTCTTCTCTTTCAGCGGTAAAGTGTGTCATTTGGTTTTAGCACATTCATTTGCTGGGCGCTGTGTTTATATTAAAGGAAGCCAAGCCGAGAGATGAAATGTTACAAGGGTGAAGTACAAAGTAGACTCAATTTTTCTCAAGTTAGGAGATGCCAGTGATTTATAACTCGGCTCCGATTTTGATTTCTTTTTTTTTTTTTATGGAGCAGTGGAAAGAATTAATAAAATGCACAGCTCTCCGAGATGCCGAGGGGGGCAGCGACGTTGGGGGCTGGACTGGCTGGAGTTTTTGTCAGATATTCATAGAATGTCGGGGGGAAGCCATTCTGCTTAGCTAGCAGTGCCCTCATGAGACAGAACGGCAGCAAGTAGGGAAAGGAACAAGATAAATGAAATTTTTGCAGCTGCAAGTAAAATATTGAGAATCTGCACTTTTTTTTATTGATCTTTATGATCCTATTGCCAAGAGCCACTTTGTGGTGACAAAATATGTTGACAAGTGCATCTCTCACCACCATGAAAAATGCGGGGAAGGATTTGCCTTATGTCTGCAGTGTTATACAAGGAACAAATTGCCCTGCTACAGCCCATTCCTTACAGAGAGGCGAAATTTAAGGCCTACCAACCCTACACACTTTTATCTGGGACTTGAGGCTAATATCTGTAGCCATCCTTCATTGAGAAAACCAGTCACAGTCTCCTCATATTTTTTCTTTAAATCTGTAGATTTTTCTACAGTACTAAAGCTGTTATTTAAAAAAAAAAAGTTTATTTCTTGGTCCCTTCATTGGATCATTTCAGAGTATAATCTTTCAGCCAGCGAACAGCAGTCCTCTTGTTTCATTGAATTTCTATCCATTCTACAGAAGAACGTTTTTCTCTCTTCCTCCTACATCAAACTTCGGAGAGCTTTTATTTCTCTTGCTCTTTACATTATAAAGCTGCTGCATTTTATTGCAAATTTGGGAACTCCCAAAGCCAAGTTGCCAGAATACATTTAGTCTTTTTTTTTCTTCAAATAAGTGATCAATAGAATTAATTTATATGTGATGTTGGGGCACCCTTGCCTTTGCAGCTTGCCAAGAGAAAGAATTTTCTCATTTGTGTGAGATGGAATTTTTTTTTTTTAATGAACTTTTCCAGCTAGGCTCCAGGAACTCTCAGTTATAATCCTACATAACTCTGCAAGCTATGACTTAGAAGATCCCAGTTCAGAGTTAGCCTGCACAGAAAAGTCTGAGCGATTCCATCTTCAACAAACCAGCTAAAAGCTGTACTGGAACCCTGGCTCAAGTGGTAGAGCACCAGCAAGCAAACTGAGCATACGGCCCTGAATTCGAGCTCTGATAACTGGCACTAAAAAAGGGGAGAAAAATCTACTGTCTCTTGTGCCATGCTGTGTGTCTTTAAGACCCTCTGTGGAAAGCCACTGTGGGATAAACCGTGTTCATATTGAGTTACAGGCCTTATGATTTAGGGTCCATTTATTGTAACCAACAGTCTAGGTGGAGCTGGGCGGAACATTTGTGTAGCAATAAAGATGTAATGGGGCTTTGAGTGCTACTAAGTTACTAAGCTGGGTTTTCTTTTGTTTTGAATAGGTCGAATATATTCTACCGAGCCTGTATAGATATCCCCAGGGGCACCGAGCTTCTGGTGTGGTACAATGACAGCTATACGTCTTTCTTTGGGATCCCCTTACAGTGCATTGCCCAGGATGAAAACTGTAAGAACTTATTTCAGCTCTCACTTCACGTCTCAAAATACCTATTTGAAAGCTAACTTGAAAAGAGTGTCTTTCCGGAAGTGTCTGAAATGTGGTTTGCTGTGACAGCCAATGGCGGCGTGCTGAGGGCCAGCCTCTCCCTTTTCCCCTGTGGGTGAAGCAGCTTCACCTGCTTTGGCCAAACTTGTTCCTCTGTGCACACTTCCACAGCCCTTGCCAGCGTCTGAAAGAACGGCTGACCGCCAAGTTACCTATAGAGAGCACCCACTGGGCATCTGCTTCTGTGCTCGCCACCTGTAGGGGGTTGTGAGAACCGCAGGTGTGGTAGTTCACACCTGTCAGCAATCCCAGCTCCCTTAGGAGGTAGAACGAGAGGATCTTGATCTGGACGCCATTCCTGGAAAAGGTCAGGGAGAGCTCATCTCACAAACGCAGTAAGGACTAGGAGAGAGGTTCAAGAGCTCTATCACTGAATAGGAAATGCCAGTAGAAGCTGGACACAAGAGGGAGGAATTACATCTCTCATGTTCTGTCTGAAACCAGAATGATGCCAGGTCCATCGTGTGTAAGTGTGTGTGTGTGTGTGTGTGTGTGTGTGTGTGTGTACGCGTGCACTGCTCTTGGAACTGGAGCTCAGTGCCCGGGCATTCTCCCTGAGCATTTCTTCAGTGCTAGAGCTCCACCACTTGAGTCACAACTCCAATTCTGGCTTTTGGGGAGTGGTTGATTGGAGATAAGTCCTTAGACTTTCCTGCCCAGGCTGGCTTTAAACCAAGATCCTCAAATCTCAGCCTCCAGAATAGCTAGAGTCATGAGTGTGAGCCCACAGCTGTTTGTTTGTTTATTTATTTTTATTTATTGGTCGTGGGGCCTGAACTCTGGGCCTGAGCAATGTCCCTCAGCTCTTCAGCCCAAGGCTAACGCTCTACCACTTAAGCCACAGCGCCATTTCCAGCTTTTTCTGCTTATGTGGTACTGAGGAATCAAACTCAGGGCCTCAGGCATGCAAGGCAAGCACTGTACCACTGAGCCACCTTCCCAGCCCTCAACAGCTATTTTTAAAAGAATACTGTAAAAAAGAATATGGGTGCCAATGGCTCACACCTGTAATTCTACTTACTCAGAAGCCTGAGGATGAAGGTTCCACGCCAGCCTGGGCAGAAAAGTCTGTTTGACACTTAGCTACAACCCACCAACAAAAAGCTGGAAGTGTAGATGTTTCAAGTAGTAGAGCACTAGCTTTGAGCTGAAAAGCTGAAGCAGTGCCCAGGCCCTGAGTTCAAGCCCCAACACCAGCACCAAGAAACAAAAAAAATGGTAACATTTGTATCAACTTTTATTTAAACCTTACATTTTGTTTAGTATTTTTTTGGAAAATATTAAAACATACTTTCCAGTATTGTGCACAAAATTAAGTAATTCGGGTGTGCCTCACTAAGCAAGGCTGGTGTCAGACAGAAGTTGTGTTTACTTGTCACTAAATTGTGAACGGATGGGGCTGGGAAGGTGGCTCAGTGGTAGAGCGCTTGCCTTGCATGCCTGAGGCCCTGGGTTCGATTCCTCAGTACCACATAAGCAAAAAGAAAAAAGCCGGAAGTGGCGCTGTGGCTCAAGTGGTAGAGCGCTAGCCTTGAGCTGAAGAGCTGAGGGACAGTGTCCAGGCCCAGAGTTCAGGCCCCACGACCAGACCCAAAAATAAATAAATAAATAAATTGTGAACGGATAATTTCATATTGTGCTGTAAGAAATAGATAACAGATCTATTTTGTTAGTAGATAGAAACTTTGATTTTGAGGAAAAGTATTATTTTCATTCTTCCTTCTTGATTATTTTCTTTTACATACATGTTACATACATAATAAACGCCAATAAAAAATTCTCATGTAACTTGTAGGCAAATGCTAATGGTCAGGTATTTCTTTCCCATGTTGTCTTTAATTTCTTTGTCCAAAACAAAATCTCACTGGAGCCTACAACTATCATTTTCCTTTTCTATTTTAGTCTAACTCCAAACCAATCTCAAATTTTAAAACATGAGTCTTGGACCAATAATACATTCCTCTTCCCAAATTTCCCTTGGAAAGTTTCTTTTCTGCGGTGATCCTCTTGTCTGGTAAGTTCCATCTTCTAAGAGGAACTCTCAGTGTTGTAAACGAGGTGTCCCATCATCGGTTGGGGTAGATCTGGGCATGGAGGTCGCTGCTCTGCCATCTTCAGAACAATGCCAAGCCTCCTCCTCTGAAACTAGGTGTAGGGTCTCATATGCCAGGGCCCCGATCAGCCCTCTGGCTTGCCAACCAGCTCTCATCTCCTGAATTGTCGATGTTGACTCAAAAGGACTGTAGACATCCTGTAAGGATCCCAGTGTCCTGCATTAGTACAACCTCTGCAGACGCTGGAGATGTTGTGCAGTGTGTGTTCAGGATTCTCTAGAAGTAAACATAATTCTAAAGTACATATGTAGCTTATTGCTCATTCATTCATCTGTTCGTGCGTGTTTGCATGTTCTCCTCCATTCATTCCTGCATATGTATTGAATACCTACTGTGGGCCTATGTCTTTGGTAGGTCAGAACATGTAGAAACAGAAAATAATCCCTACCCTTCTATCCTTATGGAGTTTACAGTGGAAGGAGAGGGATGCTCAAATGTATAAGTAGTTGTTTAGGTGGCGATATAATATGGAGCTAATAAATCAGAACAGGAGGAAAATAGGGCCAGGCTTTAGGGGCCACCCATTGGGAAAGCGATTGAGTAGTCCCCACTTGGGGAGGTGGTCTTTGGGTAAACACTTAAGAAAGCAAACGAATTGGAGATGATCCTTCCAGGCAGTCAGATTAAAGACAGCGGCCCTAAGGTGGGAATATTTCTGGTGTGTGGAGGAGCCTCACACAGATGGCCTGAGTGAGCAGAACGAAGGAAGAGAAGACAACTCAGGTGTGGATGGATGGGGGACGGGGACGCGCATGGGCCCTGGAGGGCTCTGCTTTTCCTCCCTAGGAACTGGAAGACAGGGCTGGTGGGGATGTGCACTGAAAGGAGATGATCTTGCTGAAGATATAATAGTATTCCTCTGTTCACTGAGTGGAGGGAGGTAGACAAGATGTCCAGTCAGAGCACTCAGGAGACTAGGGGAAAGACAATGATAACGGGCCAGTACAGGTGGTAGAAGTAGTTGGAGTCTGGGTATATTTTGAAGTAAGGCCAACAGCCTTTCGTGGCACATTAGATACTGAGTAAGAGAAAGGAATCAAGGATGAGGCCAAGGTTTTTTGTCCAGGGAGCTAGAAGGACCATTTGCCAAGTTCTGGAACAAATGGAAGCCATGAAGAATGACTATTTAGGACCTGCCTTTCTTATTCGTGACACGGTTACTCTAGAGTGGAAGCATCCATCTACTCGCTGTTTGCTCCCTCCTCACGGTATTCTTGCACAGAGGGGAGGGTGGGAGGGCTGGGCGTGGACTGTCTTGAAATCCATCACTTATAGGCACGTGGCAATGAGTATACCATGTGTGCTTCAGATTTGGGACCCTACACAAAACAAATTTGTGCTTTCTGGAAACAATGCCGCAGTTTGCTTTTCGGTCCTTCTTTTCCCTATGATTCTCCCTGTGTGATGCAGTCCTGAGGTAGCTGATAATAAGAATAAACTCTAGCATTCTGAAGCTCTACCAGCGAGCTCCTGAAAGTCTCTGTGAAGAAAGCTTATAAAGCCATAGCAGTGTGATGTAGAACAATGCGATTGTTCTTTGGGGTTTTGTTCTTAGAGTTCTAAGCAAGGGTTGAAGGAAACTGAGAGGGAATTAAGTCATCATGAACTAAAAGCTCAACAGTGACAACACCTGGTTCCCTAAAGCATGATGGGAATTTTAGTTTGCTTCTGGTCTCAAAGTCATATATCTGTCATGTGTTTGGCCACCCAAGAAACAAAGGTTTTATCAGATAGTGAAGGGAGATCTGTGACTCTGATTCTATGCTGGATTCTCATTTCTTCTGATTCACAGAGGGACCTTGGGAAAGCTCTCTAATGAGGGTTCCAGATGCCGTGCAGAAAAAATACTTGGTGTGATTTACAGTACCCTTGTGTGAATGGGCAGGGCAGAGAATTTAACACCTCTCCAAACCCTGAGTCATTTAAGTCATCTAAATTAGCAATTCCATGACAATGTTTGCCCTTCTGTTGCTAGTCACCAAACACATTTAACTATCTTAAAAAGAAGTTTCTTTAAATCAAAGCGTTACTGAGTAAAAGACCTATGCCGGGGTTGGAGGCGTGGCTCAGTTGGTAGAGTGCCAGCCAATGAGCAAAAATGTCAGGAGTCCCCAAAAACAAAACAAAGCAAAATAATATGGAGAAAAGACTGCAATCTCCTTCACATAGCACTGGACAAACAATTAAGTGCTCACTATATAAATATAAGAGTTTTGTTGTTGTTGTTATTGTTTTGTTTTTTTGCGGGGCCTGGGGCTTAACCTGGGAGCCTGGGCACTGTCCAGGAGCTCCTTGGTGCTGGAGGCTGGCTTTCTAAACCACCTGAGCCACAGGGCCACTTCCAGCTTTGTCTGAGTAGATTATTGGGGATAAAAGTCTTACAGGCTTTCCTGCCCAGGCTAGTTTCAAACCAGGATCCTCAGCTCTCATCCTCTGGAGTAGCTAGGATTACAGGTGTGAGCCACTGGTACCCAGCTAATGTAAGACTTTTTTTTGTGACTTGTAGGAGAGATTAAATAGTTAAGCCAGATTTTTCTTTGCTAATGAAATTGATACCTGGACCAAGATGTTGAAGGGAAATGTGATTTTATTTTTACTTAGTGAAGAATACTTATGAAGCTCATTCATTTATAAAAAAAAAATGTCATTTTCTTCCCATGGTTCTTTCAACAAAGTATTCACTTCCCACTGAGCATGTGTGCTGGGCTTCGGCCTCAGTCTGTGCCCCTCCCCCACGGGCAGAGGTGGGCAGCAGCATTGGCGCGGGCGCACTCGCTATCTGGGAAG